TGTGACTTCTTAATCCTTAACAATCATCAAATCTTTTGGGTTTTTTCCTCTCTCTTACTGGTCTGCTTTGAATATTTTCACAATTGGTTACACTGTCATCTTTCTCTGTGTCAATTTGCTTATGTTGTTCAAATGTATCTGTCTTACTGTTATCACAAATAACTTCATCATTATCCATTTGTTTCAGATTATTATTCGGTATTTTGTTACCATTTTTTTCGTCTACTCTTTCATTATAAGATTGGACATGTATCGAATTTCTTTTATATCTTATACCTTGTGGTGACTCAACCACTACACTATTTCCCCTTTTCTCTATTACTTTGAATGGTTCTGTGTGATATGGTGTACTCATTTTGTCTCCCTGTGTCTTTTTAACTAAAACCTTATCTCCTTCACACATCTCTCTCGCTTTCGCACCTCTTTTCTCATCAATGTATAATTTGTTTTTTAATTTTGATACAGCGTCGCGATCTGAAACATCTTCATCATGTACAGTATTATCCTCCAATTCTGGTAATTTTGTTCGTAATTTTCTATTCCACATCATTTCCGCTGGGGTCTGTCCAGTAACACTGTGTGGGGTTGTACGGTATGCAAATAAATACACACGTAATTCTTTCTTCCAGTCTTTTCCTTCAGCTTGCGCAATGCGAATTCGTTTCATTATAGATCTGTTCTGTCTCTCCATTTGCAGCAGGATGTAATGGTGTGACGCGTCTATGTTTGATTCCACTCTCTTTCAGATAGGTCTCAAACTCATTAGAAACAAACTGTGCACCATTATCTGAGGTAATTGATTGTGGTAAGCCATGTTGAAGAAATATATTCTCTAGGGCGTCTATGATTTTCTCGCTTGTAATCTTCTTCATTATGTTAATTTCATAATAACGGCTATAATAATCTACCACAACTAGTACATTTTCATTCGATGGAAATGGTCCCAGCAGGTCAACTGAAATGTCTTGCCATGGTCCTGTTGGTAGTTGTGTTGGTTTCAATGGTTCTGGTGCTGGCATTGAACTTGTTATCTGACACCCATGACATGTTTTAACATAGTTTTCTACATCGTTCGCCATTCCAGGCCACCAAACCTTGGTTCTGAGCCTTTGTTTGGTCTTCACTATTCCTAAATG